TGTGTGTGTTTTTGTGTGAGGGAAGGGGGGGGGAGGACATTCACTTTTGATTTGGCCTCAGAAGGGTGACAGGGACTTGGAGCTCTGGTGGCATGCTTTACTGAAACAATCGTCTCTGACCACAAATAAGCACTCACAGACTGTCAGCCTGCCTCCTGATGACTTTTTCCTTGCTTTTTTTTTTCTTTTTCTTTTTTTGCTGTGAAATTTCATAGAGACATGAAAAGCTTTTTTTCTGCTCTGTGACATCCTGAAAGTAGGCTTTAGTTTCTGTAGCCTTGGTGAGACTGCTAATGCTTTGGATAAGACACAAAAGTCTCTGCCTCTCTCTCTTTACTTGATTGTCTGACAAGTTCATTTTATCTTACTTTCCCATCTTGTGTCAAGTGTATATTTGGAAAAAAAAAGTGTGTTATAAATCAAGGCTGTATTCACACAGTAGAAGGGAGTGGGTTTTAGTCCTGTTCATGGTCTAAGCTTGTAGGGAAAGATGGAGTAGATCTCTGAGGAAAGGAAAATCCAGTATGCACACTGGAGAGGTTTTTGTGGGTGTTTATGTAGTGTAGTAGGGGTAGCGTTGGGATTGGTTCCTCTGGAAAAGGGGTCTTTGACGGGAGGGAATTGGACATGCTGAAATTAAACAAGCCAATTAGGCGAGGAAAGAGTTTAGAGGTCAAAGCGCACTCCATTAAAGTTCCTCTTCTCTGCCTAACTACTAACTCAGTGTGTCTCAGAGTCTGTTGAAGCAATAAATCTGATTAGACCTCTCCCTCTCTCTTTCTCTCTCAGTCCTTTGCTGTTGTTTTACCCTCCACTGATCATTGTTTTTGTTAAATTTGAGGCACCATTTAACATGACTTTGGGTGCAATCTTAGCTACGCATTCCTGTTACATACACACAAACTTACACTTGCACACTTGCCAAAATTTGAATATTCCCTTAGGAACATGGCATCCTGTATCAGAGTGCAGTACCACACTGACATTATCATTAGCTCTTTGGACACGCATTACCACACAGAATAAAAAGTTGCACTAATGAACTTTACCAGACTTCCTCTATTCACACACACTTTTTTGTTTGGTTGTCAAGGTTTCTGCATAACAAGGTTGTTTCACCCAAAATACAAAAACACTGTTTTCTTCCTTACCTTTAGAGCTATCTACCCATAAAGATGATTTGGGGTTTTATTTGTGCAGATTCTGAGATTTCCACTGCCACCCTGATACAATGGAGTTGAACGGAACTTTGTTTACCCCAAATTCCATTCGCCTCCATTGTATTGGAGTGGAGGTAGAAATCTCAGAGACATATATCCATGTGGAAAAACTATCTGCATGGCTATGGCAATAGAGGTAAGTGAGAAAGTATGTTGTTTTTGTGATTCTACAAAACCTACTCCTTAAATTCACTGGTTCAGTTGCTGAGTAAAGTGCTCTGGCTGTCAATAGCATGTTACTTCTTTGTTCGAGTGCTTGTCATTGTTGTTACTCATTTATAGTTAGACTTTAAAAATGGTAACAAAGATGGAAATGGAGATCTGGAGGACCCTGACCCATTCAGCACTTGAGACATGGCGGTTTTGTTCCAGCTTCTGATTTGGTATTGCTGGCTGCTGACTGCTTGCTCAGGGCTACCAATAGATACTTGCTTCAAATGTGGCTGTACAGTGACCCTGTATTTCACCATCAACATTGGCTGGAGGAAAAAAAAAAGGAATGGCAGGGATATTGAGGTACTTCTCAGTGAATAAATGACTTTTTCTGTGTTCTGTGTGGCTCTGAGAAGGAGCCTATCTTATAGACTGGGCTATACAATTGAATGCGCCAGCGGCCCTGAGAGAAGAAGAGCAGAGAGAGGAGGAGGTTTTTCTCCAAAGGTGAGAGGTGAATACTCTCAATACCTCCATCAGGACAACGCAGAAAGGAAAGAATATCTCAAGGTTAGAACGCCAATAGATTTTTTTCTAAGAAGTGTGTGAGCTGGAGGATAAAAACACTTGCGTCAAAACTTGCCTTTTGAGACTCTGAGGGACACTGTTATTCTGTATTCGCATAGTTTCTCCCTCCTCACAATTCTTTATTTCTGTGACTTAAAGACATGTCAGTCAAAGTGAATGGCTGTGAGCTAGCCATGCATTGATTAGACGCAGGACTATTTTCTTGTTTTTTTTTTTGAGAAAGAGTGGCTTCAGCAACCGTCACCGTCACTCCATCCGCTCATCCACTGCTGTTCGTAGGAGGTGTGTTTGTCCAAGTGGACGTGGGAGACACTGTGGATTTATCTGATCTTACAAGCCATCAGGTTGAGCAGAGCTTTGCTAAACATGACCTGAAGTGTGCCGGCCCCCGAGCAAACGCTGCTGTCACCTTGGTCAACCCGAGCTGTCATCTCTCAGAATGGCCCATGAGAGCTGACAGCTGTGGCGTTCCCAAAACAAATCACTGCTGCGTTTGGTAACACTCTGCGTCCCCGCGATTTAGCCCTCACCAAGATGAGAGCGGGAGCGGCGGCTGCTAATGCTCTGGCTAATGCACTGACTGTGTGTGTGTGTATGTGTGTGTGTGTGTGTGTGTGTGTGTGCGTGTTCATCTTCTTCCTGTGTGTGTGTGTATATATTTGTGTTTGCCAGGGCTTATGTGGTTTCTCTTTGTTTTTCCGCCACCTCGTTGAATGGTTCAACATAGCGATGCGCACATCTCCCTTTGTCTGTCTCTCCTCTCCGCTCTCTGTGGCTTTCAACTCTGTTGTGTGAGTTCAAAATGCCTGTTGTATGTCGTCTAACCTGTACACAGCAGAAAAAACAAAAGCAATATTTTATTCACACTCAAACCCACTTATATCTTAGATAAATATTTGTGAATCCAAAAGCCCAAAGCTAAGAATCTTTATGGGTTGATAGATTGTGAAAAATACAATCTTGAGCTTATCTTTAGCTTTAATTTTGTAAGAGTAATAATAATATATGCCAGCATCCCTGTCACAATACCATGAATCCTGTCAATTAATACTGAAAAGTTGTATCTTCATTCACCGAGAGCTGAGCAGCTCCACAAATTGTCATTAAGAGTCTATTCTCTGTAGTTTCAGTAAAACTTTGTGTTCACAACCTACACTGAACTGTGCAAGATCAGAAACACTGAGGTGAAGGTTCAAGAGTGAATTTTCGTCTGAACTAGACAGCTGATTGAATATTCTCACTTGAAGGAGAGATGGAAAAAAAAAAAATAACAAGGAACCGAGACTGTGTTTATTGATAAATTTAATGGTAAAGTGGTCTGAACTAAATGAGGTGTTTTTCTCCCTCTCAACTGTTTTGTGAAAGTGTTACACTTTTTAACTGACATTTTTAATGAGCTTACACACACTGTATCTCTCTCTCTCAAGCACACACACACACACAAATGAACCTGTCAGACACGGTTTAAACATTGAGATTTTTGACTATTTGTTACTGGGCTGTTTTTAGACATCAAACTACAGCAGTTGAAATGTGGTTTCTATTGATGTCATTGTTTTTATGTCACAGTCATTACTGAGATATCTTCTCCCTGGCTCATCTTTAAAGGAGTGGTTCAGCTAAATTTGCTTATTTTCCCCCCCTTGCAAGAAAATTAAACCAACGCTCTTAGCCAAGGGTTTGAATATAGCTGTGGCCATCATATATATGGACTAGAGGAGAGACACCTGAATATGTTGCCAGAAATGGTCTCTTTCCTCTTGTTTTTACAACATTGTGTAGACGTCAGTGCTCCTGTACGCCATACTGTACATTTAGTGGTACAACATAGTGTATATTTACAATATTTTGATATCACATGATGTGTCTTCTTTTGTTTCCCAGCAGACATTTGGAGGAGAGGCTTTTGTTCAGCTACACAGATGAACAACAGGAAGGAGGACATGGAGATCGCCTCTCACTATCGTCAGCTCCTCAGAGAGCTCAATGAGCAGAGGCAGCATGGCATCCTCTGCGACGCCTGTGTCATTGTGGACGGAAAGATCTTCAAGGCCCATAAGAACGTCCTCCTGGGCTCCTCACGCTACTTCAAGACTCTTTACTGCCAGGTAAGGGACTACTACACTTGGGAAGATGGGTCAAGGGAGTCTGCTAAGGACTTGTTTTTCTCTCAGATCATAGTAGTTTTGTTCTGTGTGTTTTCCTGCCGATGAAGCAATGAAGTTGTGTTACCCTGCATGAGATAAATAAACAAGGAAACAGTGCTATGAACAGTCTTTCTCATCCTTCAGGTTAAAAAAGGGGCAGAACCTCACCACCAGACTACTGTCACTCACCTGGACATCGTCACAGCAACAGGCTTCAAAGCCATCCTGGACTTCATGTACTCAGCGCACCTCGCCCTCACCAGTAAGAACGTGATCGAGGTCATGTCAGCCGCCAGCTACCTGCAGATGACAGACATTGTCCAGGCCTGCCACAGCTTCATCAAGGCTGCGCTGGACATCAGCATCCGCTCTGAGATGGCTGACGAACTGGCCGACTTTGAGATGGGAGCTGTTGCTGCTGCTGGCATAGGCGGAGGTGGAGGAGGTGGAGGAGGAGTGGGTATAGCAGGAGCAGGGGGTGTTGCGGGAGCGGGTTTAGGCGGAGGAGGAGGAGGCATAGTGGGCATGGCTTCTGAAGCCCTGGCTTCCATCATGTCCGGTCGCAGCACCTCCCCTTGGCTGGCGCGCCGCACCAGCCCGGCCAACTCTTCTGGGGACTCGGCCATCGCCAGCTGCCACGAGGGAGGCAGCACGTATGGCAAGGAGGACCAAGAACCCCCAAAGAGCCATGAGAGCCAGGAGGAAGCCTGCCATGACTCCCAGCCTGCCTGGCCACACGACTACAGGCCTGTCACCGTTAAAGAGGAACAGGTGTCCCCCGCCTCCTCCTCTCATCCCCGGGACACTCCCAGGGGGGCAGCCCAGAGCCAAGGGGAACAAGGGGCTGGAGGGGCTGCTGGAGCAGGTGGAGAGGGGCCGTGGCAACCCCTATCAGGGTCAGGGCGGAGAAAGAACAGGAAGAACAAGGACACGGTCAGACACATTACCCAGCAGGCTGAGAGGAACTGGGACAGAGAGCGGGACAGGGAAAGAGACAGGGACAGTAGGCCTGGATCTCCTCTGCCCTCCATGCTGGCTGTGGCTGGATGGAACTACAACGGACAGGAAATCCCAGGTAAGGCTGACAAACCAGCTTCTTACAGTGTTTACAGTCTTCCGTCCTTGGAAAGTGCTACTGTGTATTTATATCTAGACAAAACAGTTAATTTAGGTCATAATGAAGCAACCCATGTGTTTTTCACGTCCAAATGCTGTTTTTATAATGGATTTATTGGTTAGATTAGTGTAATAACAACAGGTGAAAATTGGAAGGACGTGTGCAGGCCAAAGAAAGCACACCTAGTATTCTATCTTGGGAAGGACTTTACAGTGCCGATTTGATGACTTTTAAGGCTTTAGAGTTCCTCAGAGTTGCTGCAGTTTCCTAATGTTGGCGCCTACTTAGTTAGTTATCCAGTCATGTAATTAGTAAATGACTGGTGAGATAATAAGATTAGGTTAAATAATTAGGTGAGAGCGTTTGTCTCAACACTCAGTTACAGTAGAATCTAATTTATACGTACTTCTCTAAAGACACTTTCTGAGCAGCAGTTGCGTGGAAGCGTTTAAACTGCTTTGTCGACTTTTGTTAAACTCAAGTTCAACAAAGTGGACATAATGCTTTACAGTACATATGTACTTTGAATCCTGCGTGGATATTTCGGTGCATGTTAGCCATACGCACAGTTTACTAGTGTAAAATGACCTCTTTTCTTCCTCCGGGTTGAGATTAGCGAGCTTCTTCACTAACGTGTTAGGCCTAAGATGATTATCTTAAATCTTGGAGGTGTGAGGTAAAGCCTGGGTAAATGCAGATGGATAATACAATCCTCTTCTTACTGCAGTTTATGTAACACACACACACACACACTCCCCCACAAGCAAATGCAAACACAACACAAACACACTCAAGTGCACACATATTTATTTTGAGAAAGTGTCTCTTGATCCTCAGCCTTGCAGATTTGTTTAGTGAATTCCTTTACACTAAAAACTAATACATGAAAAACACTTAACTGACGGTGTGTGTATTTGCCTGTGCGTGAGTGTGTGTGTGCGTGTGAGCACTGGTGGGCCCAAGGCGTCGATAGGTAGATCATTAAAAGTAAGAGAAGCTAATCCTGGGCGCATTAAGGGAGTTGGCTGTGAAATGGGCACACGCGTCGCGCAGCGAAAGAAAACAGGATAATTGAATTGACCTGGGTCACCGCACGGATTACCAGCGCGTCCTCGCCATCCCTGGCTCCTCCCCCTCTCTCTGGGGTTTAGGGAAGGACCTTCTGGAAAGGGCAAGAGGAGGGAAAAGAGAGAGAGTGTGGTAGATGAGAGGGGTAATGAGAGAGAGAAGAAAAAAAGACAAGTGGAGAAGACAGAGCATCCGTACAGGCTTATGAGGGTCTGTCTGCTTACATCTAAGTGTCCTAAGTCCCAGATTTTGTGACATGCAGTCAGACCTTATTACCGTGCCCAAGTACATCTTGTGTTGGACTTTAGAGTCGCACACACACACACACACACACACACACATGCATACCCACATACACCCACCAGGTAAATGCCACTATTAAGCCTGTTGGCCTGTTCCATGGTTCTGTACTGTGGTGGAGGGTAGAGTTTTAGTCTGGCTATGGTGAAGCAGCCATTACCGAGAGAGGTGTTTTCTCGCCTAAAGGTTAGAGGAAGTCTAGTGTTGCTGCTGGTGTAGACTCTCTTGCTGTTAGCCAAAAGACAACTTTTCGTCCCCGCTTTCAACTGGGTTTTGGGACTGGGCTCACAATGGAGAGGAGTGGGGGAAGGAGGAAACAAGAGTGTTTGTATTATGAGGTTATCAACTATTTGGGTCTCTGACCTTGCCATTTAGTAAGTAAAATATCAGGTTACCAGTGGGCTTACATGACGTTTAAGAGTGGTAGTGTATGACAGGCAGGATGTGTTTCACTACTGTGTGTGTTGAGTCCATTTGCAGTAGTTGGTTTCTGTGTGTTTAGTGAAGGTTTGGGGGGGATTGCTGAACAGGTTTAGTGACGTCATTATCAGAGAACGTACAGGGGGTGGTGTGATGTTTTTGGTTGTGGGAGTGCTCATTGTGATGTTGGTAAGTTCTGCTAAGTGAGGATATTTTCTGTTGGTTATTACCAAGGTAGGGTCAAAAATACACAGGATCTCCGTTGGCTTATTGTCTACTTAAGTCTTAAGTCTCCTTAAGTTTGGATTTTGTCACCTGCAGTTGAAGATCCAAATTAGATGTACGGGCATATGGAGGGGCCAAGGAATTAGAAAGTGATGTACGATTCTATTTAAAGTTTTTTTTATGGGGGGCAAGGAGGTTTATCGAAGTAGTGACTGGGCTTGTCACAATGCCAAAAATGTAGCAGTTGATACCAATACCAGTGAAAGTTTTCCGATCCTGATACCAAGGTACAAAACAAAAACAAAACAATAAATCCCATGTACTTCAACATCCACTCCGTTTTATTAAAAACATTTGAACATTACAAAAAAAAAACAACAGCAGAGGCCCTTTCTCTAATCCATTGTTTTCTTATTTACTTATTTAACTAGGCTACTTAACTCACAAAGTACTTTAATCTGCTCACCAAGCTTTTACCTTCAGATTTCCACACACGCACACGACCTACTCTGGTCTGTCTCTCTCTCTCTCACTCACACACACACAGGTACCAGTGCCCCACCCCTCTCTGTGTCTAGGGTTAGGGGTAACCTTTATGTCCCAAAAACCACATTCACCATTGATGAGTCGCCTGTGTACGAGGGTCGCTGTTAAGGCCCAAGTATGCTTGCCGCTTGAGACCTTGAGACGTAGATCTTGCCAAACCAGAAACAGGAAGCTTTCCGAGCAAGTGCGCCTCTACAGGCATCTGT